TTATCGAGTTTAAGTATTCTTTTCTTCTCTTTTGTATGCTTCTCTTTTGCTAGTGAGTTTGTTTTTTGTACTATCCCTATACTCAGGTTTGCTAATACAAAATTGTGATCACTTTCTGTGATATACTCTGCTTCTGCTATCTCACATTCCAAGATACACTGACATAATCTGCTTGAGGCCCAGATGTAATCTATTCTTGTACTAGCTATCTTGTTCGTCTATATAAACTCTTTTTTGTATAGGTACATTACTCTGAATACGTCTTTAAAGCTTGAGTTTTCTAACCATCTTAGGAGAGGGAGAGACTGTTTTCTATTTGAGGTGTTGTTGTTTTGATCCAGGTCTTTGGATCTGATGTCATTAAAGTCATCCATGATAATAATTCTAATATTGTCTCTCTCACAATCTCTAATCTTTCTGATTACTTGCTGTTGAATTTTCTTCTTTTCTTCTTTATCGTTTGGTGAGATATATACACAAATCACTAGTAATTTATACTTTTTAAATAATATTAGTATATCGATATAGTAGTTACTATATTTTGTCACTCATCCTATATGCTTTTCCCATGTTTTACTAACTATTAAACCTACTCCAGAGCCTTTTAGTTTGTCTTCACATGCTCCAATCCAAAATCCTATATAGTTATTCCTATTTTTAAGTATAAATTTGCCTTGTCGCTCTGTGATATTTGTTTCATTAATTCCTAATATATCTATATAATTATCTGCTGCCTACTCTGTTACTAAATCTAATTTATGACTATTAGCTTTCAGTCCGTTAATATTGTGTATAGCTACTTTTAATGTTCTAAAGTCTGATTTGGTTTGATTATTGACTAAATTTTTTCTGCGCTGTTAAGCAAGTTTTCCTTCTTGTTCGTGCCAGGATTTCTTTAATACAACTGGTGCTACTATTAGGAGTGATTTGCTCCTACTCTCTTTATATTAATGAGTTCTCTTCTAGATGTTAGAGCTGTTGCATTATGTATTTTAAGGAAGATTCTTGGTCTTCTTGATAATCTTTATTTTTGAGCACTGTTCTAGTGTTTCTTCTGCTTCTTTTTAAGGGCAGAAGACTTTCAGGTATATTGTCTGTTAATTCTTCACTGTCGCTTAATTAATTACTAACTGTATCTCTCTAATTCCATAATGCTTCTGAGGCTTCTCTCTCTGGTGTACTCTTTGACTAATATTTATTACTCTCTCTATTATACTCCATATTTTGTGCATATTTGAAGCACTCTACTTTAGGGTCTAGATCTGATTCTTTTCTTTTTCCTAAGCTCTTGTTACTTCTTATTTGTGTAGTTTCTTGTCTATTATATCCTTCACTAAATACTCCTTTAGTATTGTCTGCTTCACAATTTGCCCATCTTAGATTAACATTATTGTAATATATTACATACTTTGAACTTCTTGTTAAGTTCTCTTCTGATTCAAAGTATACTATTGCGCTTCTTATTCTGTTGTCATTTGTGTTTTTGAAGATATGTAATGCTTTCGCACCTGATCTCCTAACTTGTCTCCATAGAAGGATTTCATTTGTATTTTCTGGTAGATTAAGAAGTCTTGTATTGAATCTGTTTCTTGCGTATAGCATATCATGTTTGTTGACTCCTGCTGTTAATCTTACAAGTAAGTGGTCACTAAAAGGCAGACACCATGTCTCATCTAGAAGTCTTTTGTCGTATGAATTTTCTTTGAATTCTACTACGGCTCTGGTTCTACTCATAGAACTTCTTATTATTTCAATATACTCAATTCTTCCTATACATCATACCATTTCAAAGATTTGAGATCTCTTCGTTCCATTAGATAAGTCCCATATCGTAATCTTGTTTAAATCATTTTTGACTTCTTCAAATGGAGTTACTTGTCTTCTAGTAGGCAGTTTATCACTTTTGTTTTTATAAATATTGGTATTTTCCTTTCTACTTCTGCGTATGTATATATCTTCTAATTCTAATCTTGCTTGCTTTTCTAATTCAGATCTTGCTTGCTCTTCTCTTTTTCTTATTCCTTCGTACGTAGTATAATTTTCTTTTCTTTCTTCTTTAGGAATTACTTTTGATTTTGTATTGCTACTGGTTGAGGTTGAAGCTGTTGCTGGGTCAGTGGTTGGACAACTGGTGCAACTTGTAATTGATATTGAATTTGTGCTTGATGAAAAGATTGTTGGAATTCTCTTTGCCGTCGGAGTATTTCTTGTTTCTCTGCTTGAGTAATCCATAAAGAACTTCTTGAAAGACGATTATAAGGGAATTCCAATGTCAATTCTTCAAGGTTGGAAAACCTACAAAATTCATCCAAAAGAATAGAAGTGCGACCGACGATAGAAACTTTCTTGATTGTTCCAGTTTTTGATTGAATTGCTGACATAATATTTGGTATATTCTCATGTGCATCAATTTTAACATTTTGTAACTTAGTTTGAGCATCTATCAACGCTATTAATCCTTCATTATCATCTCCAAGTGCTGTAATAGTCAAATTGTCAAGTTCCTTGACGACTCGGGAAAACGCGTGAAGCAAGTCGATGGGAATATTTCCTTTAAAAAGATGTGATGAGTTGTAACTTTATTAGGAAAAAAATAAATAATAGTGCACTGAAATATTCTTTATTCACCTCCATATTCAAAACTTTGTAATTTGGACAGGCAAGCCTCGGCACCAGGAAGCTCACATAAATCAATAAAAATTGGTTCGATAGATCGAGAAGGAATCGCAATTATGTAAGGACTAAGTGACGGATAGCCGATGTATTGAATAGATTTTAAGTTCGCACATTGACTGATAAATAATTTGCATAACTCTTCAAGAACTAATGTGATATATGTTTTTCTTGTTTCTTCTAAAATTGTATCTGGAAACACCTCACTAACTGCGTCCTGTAAAAGTCGATAATTCAAAGTCTGCAAATACGATGCATAATCGTAAGTTGGTTTTTCTGTTATAGGAAAATATGTTTTCAATCCAGCATCTATTAATTTTTTCTTAGCTTCTTCAGGTAGACATGTTATATAAGTCTCGATAATTGGTACGTCTGATGGAATATTGCCATTGTTGGTATTAAGAATGAACGAAGGAAAAGGCATAGTAGCAAAGGGATTTTGCCAAAGAATAGGTATAGCGATTTCGCTCCATGTACGGTTAACTCTTATAGCAAACGCTAAAGATCTTGGGTCAGTGACAAGGTTCCTAAAGATATTTTGATAAGTTTCAGGTGGAAGTGAGGGGACCATGATTGCAAACGTTTAGGAAAGAATAAAAAAGATTTTCGTGGACGATATGATATGGCTTTTAAAGTTAAACTCATCACGTGATTAAGTGCGCCATTTACCAATTAGGGAATGTCTACTGGGTCATAATGGTCATAGGAATTTGCTTTCCTATCATTTCTTTATTTAAATAAGAAACCACACCCGGCCCTAGCTGATACCCTTAATTTGGATGGCTTGGATTAAATTTAGAACACAGCGTGTAAGTAAAGATGGCTTTGATTAAATATAGGACAGCGTATACTGTAAATTCACAATTTGATTTGATACCAAAATTAGAGGGATGGCAGAATATCTTCATTACTTAAGGCAACTTAAATAGAGACCCCCAAATTTCGGCATCACACCAATTCATTGATGTCAGAGTATTTTAAATTAGGACAGGTAATACAAGTCACTCTCGTTATAGTGAAGTGATCGGGCTGAGAGAAAAAATCTTTACTATAGCTTATATAAACTTTATTATATCTAGCGAAGAGTTAATAATAATGGCAATGAATTTAAAAAAATTTCTTCACTATATCGAGAGTTCAATATAACGAGAGTGACTTGTACCAGGTAAATCGCCTCCTTGATGTTTTTCGCGTTTTTTTTTTTCTTTTTGCTTCGTCAGTTCGTGGAAATTTCAGCAAAAATTGGTATATAGCGATATAGTTATGATTAGGGGGTTAGAACCAGTGTCTGAAATTGGGTTGCAATTTTTGAACTTCCGCAACTAAAACATGAAGCAATATCCGTTAAAAAATTTCATCGACTTTAGTCCAGTGAAGAATATCTAAAAAAAAAATTTTGTTCTCATAAATTATAATTTTTTAGGTTCTCAAAAAAAATTTTTAATGTTCATTAATAACGTAAATTTACAAATTTTATATTCTCAGATAAAAACAATTTTTAAATATTGTGTTCTCAAATATATTTTAGTGTTCTAGAGAGCACTGAGAACATCAAATATTCTTTCACTGCTTTGGTCAATAATTGTCGAGAAATCTTTAAAATTTCGAAAAAATTAAACCTTAAAATTTTAACGAGTGTTTGATAATTACCTGGCCAAATTCAATGAAAATTTTTTACTAATTTGGTCGAATAGTTATGAAGAAATCCTAGCCGCTCTAAGAACTTTTTTCATTTAAATTTCCTTGTATCGGTATTCGGCTCGGTGGTTATCTAAAAACTTTAGATTTTAGGGCAAAAATCAAAAAATTCGATGTACAGTACCTGATACCTATAGTTTACACGATTTTGAACCTACATCTACTGAATATACGCGTGATGAGTACTACATATGGGCTAATCGGAGACATTGGACCCTAGACAAAGGCACTAAATTTATTTGAGCCCCGTAATTAATTGTTTTTAATTGGTCTGCTATATTGAACAATCGCTGAATAAATTTGTGATTATACCCCAAATAATTCAAGGATATAATAGATTATGTAAGATAATGCGTCAAACCCATTTGTCCAGCCAAAACCCATTTCTCTAAATCATACAGAGTCAGACATTTGACACAGTTATTATGTACAGTAGGCACCAAAAGTAACGCCCGATTTTGCAAATCAAACAAAAAATAAAAAAAAAACCAAATTTTATTTAATTTTTTATTATATACAATAAAATTTTTTTTAAAAAAAAGTTAGTATTTGGTCGAATGACCGTGGACATCCAATACTGCCTGGATTCTTCGTGGCATTGAGTCTACAACACCACAAAGAATTGACACATCAAAATTTGCCCACTCTTTCTTTATTGCAGCCTTTAGGTCATTAGTGTTTCTTGGGAAGTTTTTACGATTCTGAATATTGTTCTTTAACAGTTTCCAAACATTTTCAATAGGGTTAAGGTCTGGGGACTTTGATGGCCATGTTAATTCTTCAATTTTCTTCTCTTTAAGCCATTTAATAACAATCTTTGCAGTATGAACTGGACAATTGTCATGCTGAAACACTACATTTGGATCTAATAATGAATGAACAGAAGCAAGGTAAGGTACAAGGTGGTCTTTAAGAACCTTAATATATATTTCTTTATTAATTTTTTGTTTTAGTTCTAAATATTCATCAAAAAAAACTAATGGCCTTTTGTTTTTACCTACAAAACAACTCTACATTATTAATGACACCTTCTCACTTTTAAAACTCAGAACTAAACACTTATTTTTATATCTTTCATTCTTATAACGTTATACTCTAACCTGACAGAATTGTTTATTAACTTTTATACTTGTTTCATCAGAAAAAATAACTCAGGATCAATTGTAAATATTCTTGTTTTTAAATTTTTTACACCAACTCTCCTGAGTAGTTATATTGACACTAGTCAAAAATAGTTTTTTTACTACTACACGTGAATGAACTTTAGCATCATACAAAGCTCTGGCTATAGTTAATATACTACATTAAAGGCTAAGATCATTTACAATGCTGTATAATGGCTTACATCTTGTTCTTAATACTTTTTTTATAAGGCTTATCTTTTCTTGCTTTTTTAGGATCAAAGGATGTTCAGACTGTAGTAAATTATTAATTGTTTTGGTTTTTTTGTATTTATTAAGAAACTGTCAAACTGTCATAGGATCACAACCAATTTTATAGGTAACTTGCTCAGTGCTCATATTATTAATATAAGCAAAGATTATTTCTTTTTTAGTCATTTGAATATGTAGCATTTTGGAGGTTTTTTTTTTTTTTTCTTACTAGACATTAGTTGAAAGTTTAAAAATCATTAAAAAAAAAATTGCTTTAAAAAATATAAAAATGAGGTAAACATAGTCTATTTATTTATGCAGGTAACTAGATCTGCAAATCGGGCATTACTTTTGGTACCTACTATACGTACTGTACTTTAGAGTAGCCTAATATTAGAACAAAATTATAATCCATAATAAATATGTACTGCATTAATCATATGATTACCAAACTGGTTCTTACTGAATATCTTTTTTACTATTACTACTAATTATATCTCTTCTCTAAGGTATGTTGAATCTTGATCTTCAATAAAACTCCAGGCATATTCATGGGATCTAATTACAGTATAGTGACATTTTTCTTTAACATAAAAAAGGGTTCACTATTCTAACTACTACCTTTACTCTTCTATAAAAAAATTTGAAAAAACATCCTGACTTCCTTCAGACTATCATTTTGAAAAATGCTTATTTTTCTAGAACAATCTATATATTAATTCCTAGTTATTTTCATATAATCCTAATGATTTCTAGATACAAATTAATCTAAGTAATATTCTGGTTCTAATTTTGATGAAGTGCAAAATATTAGAATCTAAATATTATCTAAATTTGTATTCAGAAATTACAAGGATTATATGAAAACAATCAGGAATTTATATATATTTTGTTTTAAAAAAATGAGCATTTTCCAGAATGATAGTCTGAAGAAAGTCAAGATATTTTTTCAAAATTTTTTATAAAGATTAAGTTAGGATGAGCAAATTTTAAGAAGCTTAGATTGATCTTCTATAACAGCTATGTCTGGTTTTTTATTTTTTTTATTAACGATTATTAAATTATTTTCAAGCATCATCTTATCATCTTTAAAAAACTTATATTGACTAATATCTATAATATATATTCCATTAATAGCTATCTCTTTATATTGAACAGTACATTTGAGTACAACCTTTTCTATTACTGTGCTCTTGTCAAATCTGGAAATAGTCCCAAAAAACTATATAGTAGCTATAGAGAGAGGTATAGTTCTAATAGAAAACTATTGATATTCTTCAACTGTTTTTGCTAAATATTTAGGTGTAATATTAATAAATTTTTCATACTTTTTAAGTATATTATAGATGTTAAATAAAGTTCTGTTTGATCTTCTTTTGTTACAATTTAAAGCAGTATATAGAGTATATATTTTTTTTTAGTTTTATTTGCATTAAAAATTGAATTAAAAATACTCTCAATACTAAGCAAGTACTACTTAGCATATTTATCCTAATAGAAATTCATATTTTTATTTTGAATAGATAGAGGAATCATCTCAACAAATATTGTGAAGCCAGTACTAGCTTTATTAACTTTTATAAAGATAGAAACAAAGGTTTTATTAATAAGCTCAGATTTATTAATGTAAGGGTTATTATATTTTAGTTGTCTTTTTTTTTTGAAAATGCAAAAGTGTCTAGATAGCATTATTAAAAAATTTACTTAGATAAATAATTTAAACGTATTAGAAAAAAATATTTAAATATTTATATAAAAATTTTAGTATTAATACAATATATATTGCAGTATTATTGTTATTAATTTGCACAAATTATATAATTATTGATTAATATAAAAAAGCTTTTGAAAGCTATTCTAATTAATAAAATTAATTTTTATAAAAGTAATTATATATAAAAGTACACATAGAAGTTAGCATTAAATACATAGACTAATTAATCATTAAGAAGATGTGGAATAGAGAAGAGATGATGAAAATGACTAAGAAAATAGCTGAGGAATATGGTAAAGAAATTTTAGCTGAAGCAAGCAAGTCAGTAATAGGATTTGAAG